AAAAAAAAAAAAAAAAAGAAACAAAACAAAACATAGTATAGGTAATTTGTTGAGGCCCCTTAGATTACTAGAACTCACGACCTAACGTTAGACCAACTCGAGGAAGGCCCTTCATTACACAAGCATGCCGCAAGACTTCGATAACAAAACAATGCCTATTTGGGTTCCGTTACAAAAGGGAGGTCCTTTGGGGTTTAGGGTTTAAGGGTTAGTATGGTCTTCACTATAGGGGTGCCACGAGGTTTTATAAAGGGGCCGTGATGATTTGAATAAGGAATCGGGGGTGTAGCACGGACCACGGCAGCCCTAAACCCTGTGCAGCCTCTTACCTGCAGAACCCCTTGCCCGAAGCCTCCCAGAACACAATAACTCGGTTGAAAGGGGTTTTCGCTGATACGGGGTTTAGAGTTTCAGAGTTCAGAGTAACGGGTTTCTATATAGGTACTTGGGTGACAGGTCAAGTACTCGCCATTTCTACGTGGTTGGTTAATAGCTACTTGCAGGTAGCTACTCGGGTGGTATCTTCAACCAGGTCAGATAGCGTGTAGAGAAGTCGTTGGCTTTGAGATAACGTACAGTTCGGATACGACACCATTATGCAGTAAGGGGAGCCTGGGGTTGCTAAGTACTTGCTCGAAGGGCACATTGTATTCGGGCTTTGGGGCCTGCAAAGGCAGAGGCCGTTATACGTAATTTAAGGCTTTGGATGGTCCTATTGCTACACCCTCTATAGATCCCACACCGTGAGGGTGAGGGGCAAACTTCCGCAACCCCCACCATAACAAACGCCCGCACCAGGTGCCTCAAGCAGATCTGTGTTGTCGAAGCGGTTTGCATCGCCGGGAATAGCCGTACCCGATGACGCTAAAGTCCCCAAAGAGCCTAATGTGCCTAATGTAGGTCCCTGGAAATTCTTTAAACAACACTATAAGCCACAATAAGAATCCGGGTCGGGGTTACTAAACCAACCCAATTTTCGTTCTCAAGCGCGAAGGTCTACCGCCCCTGGGTTAATGGCTTTCAGGCTGCAGGGAAGGTTTTGTAGGTTCAGGGCTTGAATGCTTCGGCTGCTCTGAAACTATGCATAGTGCGGGGCGTTACGCTCTGACAATCGAAATAAGTGGGCTTAGGGTTTAGAGTTTAGGGTGCAGGGTTTAAGGCTTAGGATTTCGGGTTTAGGGTTTTCTCTGCTACCGTTCGTGAGGAAACGCACACTCACACACTTGCTAGTCCAGGCCCAGTCAGCTGCAGACATATGTCGACAACGTGCCAACAGACACGCCCTTCACCCTGAGCCTTAAACCAAGCAGCCCAATTTGATCCCTACATCCCGAACCCCAGAGCCCAAAAATCCTAAAGCCTGACTCAACTGTAAAGCCATCAAGCAAGTCGAAGAGAACACCCCGAAATAGCCCGCCTCTTAGTTTGGCAGAAGTCGGAATCGCGGCGTCTGAGTATTCTAGGGGGTCTTTCTGTTGAGGAATAACGACAACTGCGAAGAAGCCAATCGCGACGACCGGCGGGGCAGCAAGTCTTTACGGATAACATAAAGTAATATAATACTGCACAACATAACACAATCTGGGCAACTGCTGTTTCCATCAGAGCCTTCAGGTGTAACATTGAGGTTCACTAAGCCACAAAACTGAGCCGAACGATAGACAGATGCAGATACAGACAAACAAATATAATTACAGATACAGGTGCGTAGGTATAGTTATAGAACTACCAGTGCGAACGAGGAGTTACTTAGCTAGCAGGCCTCGACATGCCTCGACCATTCCAAGCCGCCGGCACGGCTGTCCAGCTCCCACATGCGCCCGGGTGGTGGCACCTCATGGTGAGGAATCATGACGGTCGAAATCCTCACCATATATATATATATATGTATATGTATGTATGTGCGTGTGTGTGTCTCTCTCTCTCTATATATACACAGTATATAGCATATATAATACAGTATAACATAGTAATACAAAACATAATATATTAAAGCTGATACAGGCAATACCATATATTGTAGCACGACAAAATTTGTCATAACTTAATATAACATGAACAAATTAACTAGTAGATTCTCATGCATTACAATATAACATAGCATAACATGATATACCAAAATATAGTACAATAGAATCGAATAGAATAGAACAGAACATAATATAATATAATACACTATATACATGCGTGCTGCATGCATGCATGCATGCATGCACGCATGCATGCATGCATGCATGCATGAATGCATACATACATTTTATGTATATATATATATATATATAGAAAGAGCGAGAGACATAGACATATAATATGAATAATACCTTCAGCTCAAACCAACTCTAACTCTCTTTCTCTCTCTCTCTCTCTCTCTCTCTCTGTCTCTGAAGCACTGCCCAAACCAAGCCAAACACTGTCGGACACGGCTGCTTCCGCATCGCGCACGCCTTCGGGTCTCACTCAGAAGGACTTGAAGAAGCCCTTCCGGTATCTTTTCTGTTCACTGTAAACGCCGGCATGGCAGCGAGCTGAAGAGAAGGCCCAGTCAAAGTCACAGAACGGTGGCATGACAGCAGGGTTTGTCCGTAAGCGGGTACCTGAACAATAGTCCAAAGCCCAAGGGCTTCAGGTGTGAAGCTTTGAGATATCTAGGTACATAGTGTGACCTCGTAGCACCTGCCGGGCCTATAGTTGATGGCAATTGCTGAAGTCCTAAGCTTACACCCAGACCCCCTTAACCCGTCAGGCAAGTTCCCGAACCCTCTAACCGACTCTAACCACCATGAGCGACAAGTAACAGAAGGAAGGCATTCGCACGCTGACTTGTTAGTGAGATTCAGGAAATTGACTGGTGTCATGACCGAACCCCCTCTTCTTAGAGTTATTCACAATTACCAGGCCTTCTCCGCGACCTTTACATGCCCACTGCCCTTGAAGTGTCGGAGGGCTCTTACAGCCTCTGCCTTGCCAGTGCCGGCAGGGTGCGACTCACTTGCAGCACGCACGGGCAGAATGGCTTCCAGTGTCTTGTCTTTTTCTGCCTTTGGGCAAGTCCAAATCACCCCTACTGCGACGATGACGACGAAGAGTTAGGGGCATGAAGAATACTACCATTCTTGTACAGATTCGGAGACCTTTTTGTCCAAGATTTCTCGCTCGAGGTTCCCACCACCCTATCGCCCCGTAGGAGCTCCAAAAGCGTCGAAGCTCAACATATCAAGAGGAGCAATGCTTTTTTGAGGGTCAGGGCCTTTGACTTGACCTGTTGTATCGTGGATGAGCTTGAAGACCTTCGGATCATGTTGCGGAAAAGCTGCGGAAGCGCTCTGCAGAGATTTCCCGGCTTGTTGGACTTCAAGCACACACCGCAGGCGGGAAAAACATGTGTAGGTACAGGGTTCGGTATTGTCAACCCTAAACCCTAAACTCTAAACCCTAAACCCTAAAACCTAAACCCGGCTAGCTGCATGGCTCATAAGGTCCATATAAACCGTGGTCAAATTCTTGTGCCGGGCTTTGCCGAATTGATTGGATCACAGCGAAGAGATCAAGTTCTGCGTCTCCATGGAGCAAGGTGAGACAGGGGCCTCATGTCGTACTTCGACTTAGGTTTACGGGGTATGAGGTAGAATTTCCTTAGAGGGACTACAAAAGTGGATGTAGGCTTCGATATTGAACCTTTAAACTGCTCTAAACCCCAACTATAAGCCCTAAACCCTTTACGTTCTGAAAGGGTAAAGATTCCACGCCGAGGGCTTCGGGCTCATCAAAACGTAGCGGGCCTCGTCGAACTTGATGGAGCATTCTGCCGAACCACCCCTGTATCCCAAAATCCCTGAGAGCTTGTGCTGTATAGAGAAGTCGATAATTCGAAAAATGTTGGGGAGTTGTGCTACCAACATGCCCGGGGGCTTCCGGAGAGCGGAATGACATGGGGATGGGTCTGTAGTTTCGCGCCGGCAAACATGTTTTTAAAGCGGTCTTGCAGATACAAGATGTAGCATACCTATAGTCTCCATTGTAGTTCCCTTTTGGGGATACCTTATAAAATCCTTAATATATAATTGGTTAAACCAAAAAAAGGAACTACAATGGAGACTATAGGTAGGATTCCGAGGACGGGGTCTGGTTGAGCATGATCTGATGGGGTTGTAAGGCAGCGCCGGTTTTGTGGCAGAACCTGACACCTCACATGTCGCCAAGCATTTCATTGCAGTGAAGGGCTGACATGTGAGCTAAACACTGCCAGCAGGTTGGTGGTTGGCAGGCAACCTGCTGCATCAAAAATTTGCGGCCGGCAGGAAACAACCTTCCCCCTTAGAGGGGTCTGTGCCCGTTAGCCCTGCATCCTTTTCTTACCTTGAGCCTCTGAACAATCTGAAAATCCTAAGTCCTGAGAAAATACAGGTCCTTCATACGAAGTGCGTGCTCGGAAGAGCACAGGCATAGGATTTCGTCAAGAACGAAACAAGAGGCCCCTCTACCCCGCCCGAAAACGTTGAAAGAGGAAGATTGGACGAACTCGACAACACTGGAAAGAGCATCAATCCTCTCTCTTCCCAGGCATTCGAAACGTGACTGAAAGCACTAACTCTAAACCTCCAAGCCCCGAAAACACTTCGCAACCCTAGACCTAACTTGCTGTTGAAGTTCTCCAGTTTCGGGTTGCCGCTGGAAAAAATCCGCATATGTGAAGGGTAGGCTGGACGGAATCAAGATCAATTTCCTTGGCGTGCCTGACGCAGTTTCATTACACGTTACTGATAAACCCGAAAACGAGTTTCCTAATTAACCGAAACCCAAGCTACAAGACCTCAAATCCTGAGGCTCCCATGCCGCCAGAAGCAAGACAGTTCCGCTTGCCATCCGACACACGAGTGGTTCTCTACGAAGCAACAGACAACATGCTAGCGAACTTGAAATTGCACTATGAAACCTAGGCCCAAGACATAATGAACAAGAAGCAAAGGAAGCAGACACGGGACTGAATCCCCAAACCAAATGAAACACGACTCAACGCTGAGGCATTCTGTTTCCGACACACACCCCAAACCCTGCATAACCTTTTTCGTGTAGGACAAATCCAATAAGCGCACTGGAGCGGGCTCCGACTATGTTTCATGATCGCGAGAATCAGCTCACCAGGTTCAGAGGGGATTGCAGTCTATGCAGCGTTTCAACTCGATGATTCCCACATCCTTGAACATCAGATCGCTTTGGTATCAGAGTTTATAAGGTTTATGGCTCATAGGGTTTTAGGAACCCTGAAACCCTAAACCCTCAAGTAGGACCGCCAACGCCTCAGGCGCTATCAGAGGGCAGGTTGTCGCGTCAGGAGGCACTCAGATCGCGTACCATCTGCTGGAGCGTCTCCACCTGGATGCAAGCCTAGATCTTCCAATATCCCTTAGTTCAGGGATACACCTGAAATCATATTCGGGAGCCAAGTATGATGTAAGGTAAACTCCGCAATTACGGGATAGCGGAGGATCTGGTTGGTCTTTAACTCAGATCTGTGACTATCGGTTGAAGCTTTTGATTTTTGGGTCGGGGTTTAGGATTGTGATGAGGGCCTACGGTTTGCCAGAACCTACCAGAATTTACCAACATAGTTTTGTAGGATCCCAACAGAAACCTATAGTTCTCAATTTAACTAAAGGGGACCCTGCGAAAAGGTAGGTTTTTGTAGATTCAGGTCGGGTTGTAATTAGATGAGGCGTTAAGCCATATATATATATATATATGGAAATATATGCACCTTTTAGATACAACAAAACTACACCTCAGAGTCTTCAATATGTCACACCGCTTTCTCTTTACAGCATCACTGTCAAATATCGTCAGCCCCCTGACATCCTCCCCCTCCTCCTGATGAGAAAGTTCTGGGGCTGGAACCAAACGGATGGGATTCCCGACTCTAGACGGAATAGGGTTTAGGGTTTAGGGTTTAGGGTTTAGGGGTTTAGGGGTTTAGGGTCAGCCCGAAGCCAAGCAACAGAAAGCCATAAGATCGTTGCAAACGAGGAGGGTCAATGGGGACTACATCAGTTGTCACCACTACCGGTCTGACCACGAGAAGTTACGAAGCGGTTTACCACAAGTGAGGATGTAACTACCCTGGTTGAAGCCCTAAACTTGCCTGAACCCTAAACCCTAGAAGGCTCGACAGCAACACTAGACTCACACTTACTGGCAACCTGAATGCTAAATCCCGGCCATCCAGAACCTGAAGTCATGTTTAGCTTCCAGTTGCCGAGACGAACATGCCGTTCTGTCTGGACTCCGGATGGATTAAGCTTGACGGTACCTGGTTCCCAACCTCCTGATCCCGAACTGCACTGCAGTATCCGTGAAGAGCAGGTGGGGAAGCTTCGTATCCATTCGGGGCCCTCCCTTCGGTTGAGGTTTTTGGGGATCCGGGATCCTGAAGCCACAACCTTTTATTCAGGCTCCACGCTTGGAATACATCCCTAGCACAATCCTTTTAAGTCCCCTCCAGCCCTTCGTGTCTCACAGCCGTATACCGAAACAAAATATGCAACAACATATGGGGGGGCAGGCTGGCTCTCTTAATTCGGATCCTGGGGGTGCTGCCCAAAAGAGTGACGCCTTCTTCTGGGTAAATGCACGCAGGCCGTGATCTCCGACATTTACTGAGCTATTCCCGTCTAACCGGAGAGTACAAGAAGTACCAGGCAACATAGAACAATCCGAACAGACATACCCTAGCAGTTTAGGGTTCTTTGCGTCTACATAAGGCTTCTAGGTTAAGCTTTCTCACACAAACACCCTAAACCCTAAACCCTAAACCCAAAACCGGAAACCCTTGGCTTCCTGCATCCCAGTCGCCGACTGTGTCAATGTCACCATGGAGGATCTGAGTTGATTCAGCTCTTGGTGGCTCACCTGAAAGGGTTTAGGGTTTAGGGTGAAAGGGCCCCAGAGAGCCCGAGCGGCCCCTTGCTTAAGGAACGAAGGCTAAAGTAAACTTTGGGGGATTCTGTAGCGTCTTATAGGGTTGTCGTAGGATTTCATCAGGGTGTTAAAGGAATATAGCAGGAATAAGCCGGGCCGAATACATGAGTTAATGTATATTGCTTAATCAAGCTGTGTTGGGCTCCCGTGTGGAGTGTTTGAGCCCCAATGGTCCCGAAGTAATGTAGCCCAGAATTCCATGGGCCGTCAGCACGCCTCGATCATGAGCTTAGGGTTTAGGGTCTGGGGTTGAACTCGTCCGTCGATTTCAGGCTTGTGGGCTTCGGGGTGCAAGGTTCTGGATTTTAGACCTCGGAACTTGCGCCTGAACCAAGAGACCCCAAAGAACGATTACTGCTCGCGCATGCCGCGCTGTCCGGAGTCTGAGAAGGTTGCAGTGGTCGGGTTGATCCCCTGTTTGACGCGAGTGTTCTAAATGCCACCCAGATTTCACGCATGGCAGGCAAGGAGCCCATCAGATGACTCAGACGGCATATCGTATGACTGCATGACTGTTCAGACTGCTCATGTGAATTCCGCAATCCTGTTGACAGGCGCAACCCAAAGCCTATGGGCCAATGGGTGTCTCCATTCGCGCAAGCAAGAAAACACTTTATGCGCAAGAAACACAGCACGCAGGACAAATGGTGTCAGGTTTCATTTCTTTTCTGCCGCCTTGCAAGCATTCTATCTGCAGGCCTCGCACCCGTCTGCCAGAGCAGCACGACTCGTGGCTTCAGGGCCCAAGCGCAGATAACGACCAGCGACGACTGTGGGGCTGTCAAAAGAGCCATCCATGATGCTAGCATCAAAACTTGTCTGCAGCTACGGTCCGATGGAAACAACAGCCCTGGAAGTCTACAGCTTGCACCGATGGCAAGACACCCCCTTGCAAAACTGCGCACGTTAAAATGTCTAAGCAGGCAGACACGGGCCATGGGCAAGAGACACCGATGTCATCATTCACCTGCAGTCTGTGCTGCTCTTGGCAAGCAGTTGGATACTAGAAGAAGACTGTTCGGATTCTCTCTCGGCCGCCCTGCGCTGTACATGACTGGGAAGAACGTTCCAACCTCGCGGCCCCGCGAAAACCAGGGCAACACGACCCGTGGCTTCCGGAGCGGCGAGGCACACGTGGCGCTCGGTGCGAATTCCGGTGGCGCTGCTTCCAATACTACAGGGTTTAGCGTTTAGGGTTTTGGGTTGAGGTTTCGGGTTTAGGGTTTAGGGTTTTTGGTTTAGGGTTTAGGGTTTTGGGGTTTAGGGTTTAGGGTTTACGGTTTGGGGGTTTAGGGTTTAGGTTTAGGGTTTACGGTTTTGGGGTTTTGGGTTTAGGGGGAGGCTCCAGGAGCAAGTGCTAAGTCCGGCTTTGGCTTCATAGTAATTCTTGGGGTAAGAGGGTATGGATGTAAGCAAAGCTGGAAGTAGAGCGCCCATCTTACACAGTAAATGAAACAGGAGCATTGCCTGTGCTTCTGAACTCATGTTTCGATGCGAAGCATTTCTTGGGATCTATGGTGTATTACAAGATATGCCGCTTTACATCGCCGTTTCGCAGTGCAACAAGATCTGGCAAAGCTAAGCTCCTGCCTTTGTCACAGGGATGTCACCTCCTAGATCTCACCACAAAGGTGGCACACTCTCATCGATCAAGGAAGCCCCGCATAGACGGGGTAGCCCATGCTTGAGTCCGTCTGGACACCGCCCTCCAACACGAGCAAGGGCTCGTCGTCTGGAGCCCCCTGTTCCTCCTCATCCATGCGCAGAGTCTCGCGGCGGAGCTTGGGACGAACCTTGCGCGGGATCGCGCGGTTAAAGGCATCTTTGATAAGCTTGCCGTCGGACTCGAGGGCCAACACGTGCAACTTCCCCAGCTCGTACATGTTGCCTCGACTTCGGGTGTTGCTGCCAGCACTCGCAAAGGAACAGTACTCTTGTGTGCATCAGAAAACCGTATTGCTGTAAGAAACCGCATCAGATGAGCCTAAGACATCTCCGACCCCAAACCATTACCAGGGTGACTGGTAGAAGATTCTATGACTCTGCGCCCGAGCGGCCATGCAGGAGCTCCTGCAGCTGTGGCTGGGTCAAGGGCACGAAGAGGGCCCTGGCCGGAGACCATTCGGGTGCCACCTCACATCCGGCCTCCAGCACACGACGGTGCAAAAGTCTCAATGGCCCGGTCGCATCGAAGAGCACGGTATTGATCTCTTCCAGGTTGGAGGTGGCCCATCGCCCGAGCCGGAAGATTACCACGCCGTCGCCACTCAAAGGGGGATTGTCGCTCTTGCTGTTTCGGATGGCCGCGAGAAGATCGCTTGTGGAGTTCTGGTCAGGACCACTTTCCTTCTCTGTTGTGCTATCTGGTTGTGTTCGTGCTTCGTTGCTGGAAGCGGCGGCGGCACCAGCAGAGTGCATGTCCGGGACACCCACACTCTCCGCTTGTACACATGACGCGGCACCCTTCGCCACTGGCTGTGGACTCTGAGGATCTTGGTGATCTGACTCCTCCCACCAATGGCCCAGGGAATTAAACTCAGCCTCGCGCCCCGCGAAGGCACTCGCCAGTGACGGCCGTTCTGCTGCGAAAGTCAACACCAACTTCACCAAATCCGCCGGCACCCGCTTCCCGCGAGCCCAGGAGCGCAGGGCCTGAAAGAGCCCGAAGCCCGCAGAGCATGCGACTTGTCGGAAGGACATCTGCAGCGCCGCTCTAAGGGCCTCAGTTGCTGCAGCCTGGCGCTCCGGGAAAGATGCACAGCTACCGCTCCAGGCATCTACAGGTCTCCAGTCATTTCTGCCGCACCAGCACGCCACGTTGTTGTCCCACACCAGAGGCATCGCTTCTAGGCTCGCCTTCAGCGTCAGCTTTGTCGCCTTGATGTCCATCGCACCACAGAGTCGGGCACAGTCGCTTTGCCCAAAGACGATCGCCAAGTCCAGCACGGATGCATACCAATCCTGTGGGTGTTCTCGACGACATCGCGTGCATTCTAAGCGAACCTCCGGTCGATCCCATCGAAATGAGCTCAATGTGAGCCCGGCCATCTTGGCCCGATGCAGAAGCTCCGGGCTCAGCCTGACTTGGCTGCCAGCCGGCTCCAGGAGAAACAGGGCCATGTGATTTTGGGCTTTATGTGTTGGCCAGGGCCCGAGCTGCAGTTGAAGGCTTTGGACTCGGCGCCAAAGCTCTGCATCGCCGGAAAGTACGATGGCTTCCGCCAGCGATGTGGAGGTCAAGACACCGCACCAGTCGTCCCATTGGGCCCTGCCATCATTCAAGAAAATTAAAGTCTCGAGTGCTAGCCCGGCGGCCAGAGCTGCAACCAGGACGTCTTTCTCCCGGATCTCTGTTCGAACACACCGTTCATCTATTATGGTGATCCTAACAAAATCCTGGAATCTCCAGCGCCTCAACGGGAAGCAATTGCAGTGCCGGGCACAGGATCTGGCGAGCTCAGCATTCCCGATGAGGATGGCAACGTCCAGGAGGTGGGGCATCGTCTCCTCCGCGAGGATTCCTGGGCAACCTGCCTCGGAGCGGCAGGCCTCAAGCAAAGTGCGAAACAATGGCATCGCAGCTGCGCTCTCCGCGGCATTCTTGGCATCCACGAGGCTTGCATCCCAATCCTCCATCCACACACCCTCATCCTCCGGAACTCCCCAGCTGCACGCTCTGCAAGTAACCCAGTCCCGGCACCTACATCCGACATGACTGAAGTCTGCTGCTGCCCCAGTGGGTGCAGAAGCATGAGGCAGCAAGCTGCGGGGACCCTTGAAGACGCACCCTGGCACTCCATACGACATCATCGCTGCAGCGGTGCTCAGGTGGCCGAACTGGAGGCACAGATCGAAGAGATGCTTGGAATCGACTTCCTGGCTCAAGAGCTCGACCTCTCCGTCCAGGAGGGCCTTGGCCACCTGGAACTCGTCCACGTCCAGGATCCGCCCATCCTTGCCACTGTGGACGAATCTCTCCACGGACATCGGAGACAGAAAGGACCCGGAGGAGGTGGCCAAATGCTGCAGTGACCCGGGGCCCTGCGACTCGAACCACAACAAGCAGAAGTGCCCATGCTGTCGTAGAGGACTGATCCCTCCCTTAATGATTATTAGAGTGGGGTTTGGGGGGGTATAGTATACTTTGATGATAATAAGGAGACCCCACAACCCTATTCTGAGTATTAAGGCCCCATCGCAGAAGGATGTAGAAGGGTAGAAGGTAGTGCTTGCATATGAAGATCTACCGGTATTGTATGGCTTACTCGGGACCTATAAACTGCACAGAAAGATCGAAAGAACCCGAATCAGACCCACCCCGAAGCCCTAACCCTCTCTGCAAGGCTTCACGCAACCCTTGGGATCGGATCCTTGGGATAGTTTGAATTTGGGGTGCGCTGGCATATACAACAAACGAAGGAACTCAGATCCAAGGAGTGCCCGTACCCTGGAGCCCGAGGGAGGACATCAGGCTTCTGGATGGGAGCTTCGGTTATGAGGGCTTTATAGGTTTTGATCAGCTTTAGATTAGGGTATGAACTTTTATAATATTATTAGCGTTACGAGCCTTCTAAGGATTATGTAGTAATCGTATCCGTTTTCAGTCCTTGTATTGCCATGGCACGAGTACACCCCCACACCCCCCCGAACAAATATAACAGCTATTCAATTAGGCCCCCCCCGCTTTGGAACTCAACGGTTTCGGAGTTTGGGGTTGGGTTTAGGGTTTAGGGTTTAGGGTTTAGGGTTTAGGGAAGCTCTGAAATCTGAGCTTGTATGACAATCTAGAAGAAGGACCCGAGTTCTACGCACTTTCGAAGCAAGCCCAAGGCGGCAAGGCCAACAACAACCATGGTTTAGGGTTTAGGGTTTCGAGGTTCATG